GCCCCAGCATCTCGTAATATTTAGGAAACAGTACCGCAGCTCAAAATAAGGGCCGTTTGATACAGTTACCTTCATCCATGAAATTTAACAGGGTGACACGTAAGGGATCGGATGTCATACGCCGGTGGCATTAGAGGACGTGCCATCATGATATTTCTGTGTCCATCACCCCATCTCACCCCAGCGCCGCTCCCTCTATATTAAGAAACACGCTGGACGCTTAACTCGACCACAGATCTCCAGTCACTGTGAGTTTGTGTTCCTGGCATTACCAGGGTCATGGGTTCGGTTCCCAGATGAAGCATGAACTGAGGAAAAACTTAATGGCCAAATGCAATCATATATGCAGTGTGCTGGAATTTGAAGGACTGCCGAGATTGTAGTTTTGGGCTCTGTACGTTCCTCAGACGCTTCTGATTGGCAGGCCTGTTGCCAGGGAGCGCTGTGTCTCAACGTGGACTGAATGTGTTGTGTCTGTGCACTTAGACATGCTCGACTTTAGAGCGACTGCAGTGCTTGAATATTTATAAAGCAGATAGTTCACATGAAGAGGGTTGGCGAGTACGAGCAGATATAGATCTAAACGTGTTTCTGCTGGACTGACTTGCGCTCTGCAGGTTCTTTAACGCTTTACAAAATGTTTTATTCTGACAGAACTCCTTTTCCTCTGAGTCTGAGGAGTTTTATGCCTGCAGCAGTGCTTTGTGGCCCAGTTCTGACTCGCAGACGGACACGTGCTGATAAATCAATGAGGATCGCCTCAGGTTTATGGAGTTCACGTCTGTACGTTCCTTATCAAAGATGTGCAAAGTCTATATTTAGTGTGCGCGCTCAGGCCTGACTTGACACTATTCCTTCACGTACATGCGTGTGTGGCACTGCATTGCAGCGCTGTGCATTAGCTGGCAGCGTGATGTGAACGCCCATCCTCACATGCTGCATCCGCCGCTCACGTGTGACAGCAGTGCTTCATGGCTCACGTGGACATGTGTGATGGCTGTCTGTCATATATCTCAGAACTTCTGATGTAGAGCTTCGTCACAATCACAGGGTACAGGGAAATCTTCATTTCTAGTGTAGTTCATTTACACACAGAAGAGACAAGCTGCCTGGAAATTAGTGGTAGAACAATATTTGGCCATTTTGAATAATTTTCTGTGTTTTTTAATGCATATATTGTGTAATATAAGTGTTCATTTAAATTCAAAACAAACTGTAATGTACACTACCGTTGAAAATTTTGGGATAATTAAGATTTATTCATGTTTTTCTCTGTTAATATTTTATGCTCACCAAGGCTGCATTTATTTGACCAAAAATAGTGAAATATTATTACAATTTAATAAAAAATAGCTGTTTTCTATGTGAATGTAAAATGTAATTTATTGCTGTAAATGTTCGGCATCATTACTCCAGTCTTCAGTGTCACATGATCCTTCAGAAATCATTCTAATATGCTGATTTGCTACTCAAGAAACATTTCTGATTATTATCAATGTTGAAAACAGTTGTGCTGACAAATGTTTTTGTGGGAACCACAATACACTATCATTCAGACTAAAGACATTAATACTTTTATTCAGTGAAGACATTCAATTGATCACAAGTGTCAGTAAAACATTTATAACATCACAACAGATTTCTATTTAAAAAAAAAAATGCTGTTCTTTTGAACTTTCTATTCATCAAAGAATCTTGAAAAATAAATTATAACAGTTTCCACAAAAAATATTAAGCAGCAAAAACTGTTTTCAACACTGATTTTAATAGGAACCATTATTAATAATTGAATGAAAATAATAATTGATAATAACTAAGCAGCAAATCAGCATATTAGAATGATTTCTGAAGGATCATGTGACACTGAAGACTGGAGTAATGATGCTGAAAATTCAGCTTTGCATCACTGCATTAAAGGAGTGGTTCATTGCGATTTCACTTTTTTAACGTTAGTTAGTGTGTAATGTTGCTGTTTGAGCATAAACAATATCTGCAAAGTTACGAAGCTGAAAGTTCAATGGAAACGGAGATGTCGTCTTTTAAAATTCTGGCAGTTTAATGCCTACAAAAAATGGCTGGTAGGGACTACAACGAGTTACTTCCCGGGTTCGTGACATCACAAACCCAGATAAACCCCGCCCTCGGGAAAAGGCAGCAAAGGGGGCGAGGCCATGCTGCGCTGCTTTAGAGAAGAGGAAGAGAAAACTAGAGGTGCACGTAAAAATCTATTCATATATGAATCGCGATTCTGTCTTCTAACGATTCTAATGGATTCACAAGATTCAAAATCAAAGTTCTAAAGCAGCGGTTCTTAATACTGTTCCTCGCATCGCCCTGCTCTGCATCTGTCTCTCTCTCTCATTCAGCTCAGCTCCAACAATGAACTGTTACAATTATACACTTATTTTCACATAGCTATGAGAAGCGTTATACATGGACGCGCGTGCAGTTGCCGTACTGTATTAAAGCTTTAATCAGGATAAAACAAACTATTAAAAGCTAACATAAGCAAACATTTATAACATCACAACAGATTTCTATTTAAAAAAAAAAATGCTGTTCTTTTGAACTTTCTATTCATCAAAGAATCTTGAAAAATAAATTATAACAGTTTCCACAAAAAATATTAAGCAGCAAAAACTGTTTTCAACACTGATTTTAATAGGAACCATTATTAATAATTGAACAACAATAATAATTGATAATAACTAAGCAGCAAATCAGCATATTAGAATGATTTCTGAAGCGACGCCTTTGTTTACAATACAACCGGAACACATGCCGCCGAGGTGAGGGGCGGGACGTGTAGACGCGCACTAGAGGCGGTTTAGCCAATCACAACACACTGGGCCAGCTAATTACACCAAATACACAAAATAATGATCTTTAAAAAAGCATCATATGACCCCTTTAATTATCCAAATGTGACCTCAGTTCAACTTTTTACTCAAATTGTAATGCGGATAATATAATTTGTTAGAAAAGCATTTAAAAGATGCTTGAAACACCCAATAGTGATAGTGACCCAGTCAGCGACTAATAGAAAATCCCAGCACTCCGTCTTCTTCATGTCACTTCGGATAAACAGCATCTGTAGTGCTCCTGTGGCTCAGTGGTAGAGCATTGCGTTAGCAGTGCAAAAGGTTGTGGGTTCGATTCCCAGGGAGCACACATACTGGTAAAACATATATAGCCTGAATGCACTGTAAGTCGCTTTGGATTAATTAATAAATTAATTAATAAAATTATCTGCTAAATTGTGTTTCGGGATTTTTTGTTTTCCGTTTGCTTTTGTAGTGTAGCTCACATCTGTGGAAATCAATGCAAATGTTTGAAGCAAGACTGACTTGTGCTTTCTATGTCATCCTCTGGTGAGAAGCGCCTGTAGTTTTTCTGTGTTTCGATTTGCATTCTCTGGCATGAAATGTCATCTTTGACTGCATCTGGTCACGTAGTATTAATCGACGTTCAGTGAGCAATCTCACGAAAGCACATGCAGTTTGAGTGGAATAACAAAAACTAACTTTTGCATACAGAAAATGAAGCCCATAATTATACTAATTATATTTTTTATATATTGTAAAGTAATTGCCGTGAAAACAATGTTGCAATGCAAAATCCCTCATATGCTTTAAAAAAAAAACTGAAGCTGGGTGAGAAAGTTGATGTCACCTCAAACTCAGCAGAAATATTAAATTCATTCAGACTGCAGACGTAGAGCTTGTCAGTGTTGGATGTCCTTGTGTTTTTATGTTTGTCTTGAGTTCATGTGTCTGCCAGCCTGGAATGATAACTTCCTGCGGCTCAGACAGAGAGATTTTTCTCCTTTCACCAAAGCAGATGGCACTTTTCAGTATCTGTTCCAAAGACAAATACCTGCAGAACAAAACCACTGCGCTTTAACAGTGTCAGATAAATGGACGTGAGACACAAAAGTGCACACAATATTAAGAATCTGTTGTGATATTTGGATATTTTTGACTGGCTTTGTTTTGCACTATGAAGGCTGATTGGTAAAGTGGGTAGACAGTGTTATTTTAATATCATTAAGATACTATTATACTTTTTGAAATACTTGTAATTCGTTTTTATTTATTTTTAGTTACAATTTTAGTAATTTTGTTGTGTCTGTATTGTTTTGGTCACGCTATATATTAAGGACCAATTCTTTAATTCTCCAATAAGACTAATTCATCTGAAGTAACAAATGTTGTTTATGGTTTTAATTTTAGTAAACTATAGTAACATTGGTAGATGGAACACTGTTTTATCAGTAGGATGCGGATGTGAGTTATTGCAGCTGATTCATATTCATATTGTGATGCTCTTATAATGACAATGCAAGCTCATAAATCACCCAGCAAACAACACAAAAACCATCCTCATGGACTTTTCAGGACAGTGTGATTTGCCTACAGTGAAATCAGTGCAGTGTGTGTGCGTGTGTGTGTGTGTGTGTGTGTGTAATAGTGTTGTGCTGCAGTTGCTTTTCTTTGCTGCTTCTGTTCTCAAACGACTTTGATGTGTCTCTCACCCCTCCCTCACCGTCTCTCTCTCTCTCTCTATGTTACTGTAGCTGGTCTCTGTGTGTGTGACGTTATAGACGCAGCATTGATTACTTTCATCACACATACACTCATGCTGCACTTGTTGAGTCCTGATGAGAGGCGGATGCTCATGAAAGCTTTGTCTCCTGAAGGCTCTGAATGATGAAATCAGATTGATACATTCTATATACTGTATTAACCTTTTACATATAGGCCTATGTTATGAAATCAGTAGGGTTAGGTAATGGGCCTTATGTAAGCTATGACATTGAACAGATGTGTGCATATACGTGACTACTTGTGTAAGCTCGTACAAGAACATACATGGTACAAGAACATATGTGGCAAAGTCTGAACATGTTGAATAGGGCCGCACGATTAATCGAAATTAAATCGCAAAGGCAATAAATCGTGATTAGGCAGAAGCTGCGATTGTCACGCGTATCTTTCAGTGAAGCACAGTTCTGTGATCAGTAGTAAATCTCCATCCGAAGGCCAGAGGGCACTCTCGCACTGAAAATCCAAATATCGCTGCAGCTGAATAAACAGAAGATTTATCGCAAACGATTTCGTCGATTTCATAATCCTACGATTATATCGTCTGCGATTATGAACGTGATTTTGCATAGCTTGTCAGAGAACTACGGCTCTGTGTAGTAAATGCTGCTCCACCTGAAAGCAGGTGATGGAGATTTACTACTAATCACAGAACCGGCTTTACTGACAAAATGTGCATGACAATCACGATTAATCGCGTTCGATTAATCGTGCAGCCCTAATGTTGAAGATGTCCTTCTTATCAGGTGACATGATGTTTTTCCAGTAACTTGCGAGCACATGATTGGTGAAGACCAGAGGGGATACAGTTATCTTAGAAAGTTTATACATTAGGGTATAAATGCTGTTAGCAGGAACCTCTCCTTATCTCCTTTGCACTCAGAAGGTGAAACTCTTGTCTGTAAACTAGATAATTTCTGCAGAAATTAAAAGCAAGACAAACTCTTTGACTGGTTTTTCATTGTCAGTTTCACATTTATTGTTCAATTTCAAAATAATCCACGATAAATGACATGGGTATTACAACGTAAACATTGTTTTTGAGGTTTACACTTCCTGTGTCCTCATAAAACAAACGTTAAAAAAACATACTAAACTGTGTTTTTTTCACATTTGAAATATGCCAGTAGTTTAGTGTGTGAGGGTTACGCTTAGGGGTAGAATTAGGGACAAGAAAATAGGAGATAAAAGGGGAAAGGGGATAGAAAATACAGTTTGTACAGTATAAAAACCCCGTAAACCACAAATACAAGTTTGAGTGTTGTGTGTGTGTGTGTGTGTGTGTGTACCTGGTATTTATCACGTTAAACGGTCTGAGCTCAAATGTGTTCATTGGCTGTTTTTGAGTTTGATTTACGAGCTTCTTTACTGCTGTTTCACTGATTAGGGTTTTCATTGGCTGATGCCGATATCCCATGTTCAAAGCAAAGCCAATTTAGTAGGACGTTTATTTTGACATTGTTCGTTGACATCCAGTTATTTTGACATCCAGTTTGCTGTCTTTTTTGTTAATTAATTTTTCTTTCAGTTTTAGTTATTTTAGTACATCCAGTTAAAGTAAATGAAAATGAGAAATCTAGCTTTGGCAACTAGCTGAAATAAATACTTTTTTAAATATTTTATTTTATTTCATGGTTTTAGTTAACAATAACACCCTGGTCATGATAGCTTTATATTGGATCTGTTCAGATGTGCGAGTTGTTCTCCATCTGCTATCTCTTGCCGTCTGTATTATATTATGTCTTTATTTTTATTGTTCCTGTTTTGATGTTGATTTTAGTTAAAGTTTTATTAAAGTTATTGTTTTTGTCATTTTTATTAGTATTTTTTTTTAATATGGCTCAAATACGAGGCATCCCATTTTGGTGTCCACATGAAATAAAATTTACAAAAGTGGTTTTATATACACAGAAAGCATATTAAATGCAGTAGAATGTCTACTTTAATGTTTCAAATAACTTTTGTTAAAGTAAAATGTCAAAAACAGATATATTTATGTAAAAATGAAACAACACACTTATTCTGCCCTGTAAAATATATAAAAGAAAAAGTGATCATACTAAATTTGATTATATTTTAAATGATTAAAAACTTCTTGCTGACAAATGGGCAGTGGTGGAAAGAGTACTGAAAAAATATACGTAAAAGTACCATTACATTCCAAAAAATGTAGTGTGAGTAGAATAAAAAGTACTTGTCCAAAAAACTACTCGAGTAAGAGTAAAAGAGTAGCTTATTTAAAAGTACTCATGAGTATTGAGTAGTGAGCTGCAGAATTGTACATGCTGTAATTCATGTTATCTTTTGTTGTTTGTCAGAAAGAATGAAGAATACCTATCATCCAGCAGTTTTAATTTTGACTGCCAACTTTTTAAAATACATCAAAACAACACTGAAAAATTATTATGATGAAAAGTGATGAAAAGATGAAAAAGTTATTCTCAGCACACTCGTCACCGTTTAAATCATGTTTGAAAAAATAGATTTAAAATCAGGTGTAAGGCCACTGAGCCAGAGCATAATATTGTTGCACATAAAATATTAATGTTTAGAACAATTCAAAGAATACAAAACCATTAGAAACTCATACCAGAGTTCAGCATCACACACCATGTGAGAGATTAAAAATAATCAATTTCTCGCCAAAACGGTGCCAGTTTTAGCGTTTTGTGATAAAGAAATGAGAATCATAAACATGATAAGTTATGTTGCAATTTAAACGTAAAAAGCACATTGTTCTAGAAAGAGGGCATCATCCCCTAGCTTTTATACAGCTACATTTACTCAAATTGTTATGCTGATAATACAATTTGTAAGGAAAAAATTGCAATAAATAGGGAAGTATTTCTGGGTAAACATTTTCAAAAGAAAACACACACACACATTCTTGCATATGTGGTTTACAGGGACTCTCCATATGGTTTTTATACTGTACAAACTGTATGTTCTATCGCCCTACACCAAAACTACTGGCAAATTTTTTTATTTCACAAAACACCATTTAGTTTGGTTTTTAAGCCTTTTGGTTTATGGGGACACAGGAAGTGAACCATGTTTACGTTGTAGTACCCATGTCATTATACACATTTGTTTCCTCATATAAACCATATGTTAAAGCCATCATAATTTTGTCTTTAATTGTCGTTTTGAATTGAATAGAATATGTAAACCATATATACCAGAGCACACACACACACAAACGCACGTCTATTTGCGGGGCTGCGGCGGTCTCGGTGAATAAGCTGCTTTTTCACATCGCACTCAAACTCATCAGGAAGTCAACAAGCTGATGACTTCCCCTGCAAACTCACGCCAAAGTTCAGGCCCTGTAGATAGGCTAGCCTACATACAGATCATGTAGTAAGCAGAAATCCAAAAATCACTTTAACATATGTGACCCTGGACCACAAAACCAGTCATAAGGGTCATTTTTTTGAAATGGAGATTTATACACCATCTCAAAGCTGAATAAATAAGCTTTCCATTGATGTAGGGTTTGTTAGGATAGGACAATATTTGGCCAACGACTTAAGACTGCTTTTGTGCTCCAGGGTCACATATTAGAGGAAGATGCTGATAACTCAAATGAATTGATGCTTGAAGAATGCGCTTCCAGCAGCCATGATTAAAGGAGTAGTTCACTTCCAGAATGAAAATTCTATCATTTACTCACTCTCTACTTGTTCCAAACCTGTATGAGTTTCTTACTTCTGTTGAACACAAAAGAAGATATTTTGAAAAATGTTAGTATCCGAACAGTTGATGGAGACCATTGGCTTCCATAGTAGGAAAAAAAATACTGTGGAAGTCAATGGTGCCCATCAAATGTTCATTAATAAATGTTTTTTTTTTTTTTTTATGGTTTACGTTTTAGTTAACCCTGGTCATAATAACTCCATGACATATGTGTTCATGCTAGGGGTGTAACGATACACGTATTCGTATTGAACCGTTCGGTACGAGGCTTTCGGTTCGGTACGCATTACAAACCGAACGATTAGTTGGACTATTACATTTGGAAAATAAAAGAGCTTAAAGTGTGTGAAATATAATGTTCTCAGTGCCACTGCGCTCAACAAGGCAGCCCAAACGACGTAAATGGCAATGTGCTGTCTGCCCCGTGGCGTTCTTTTAAAACAGGTCTATTAGCCTAAATAGAATGAATTATAGGCCTGTAATTAAAATATAAACACTGCAGTCATCAATAAAAATCAATTAAATAAAAAGCTTTAGCCTATTTCAAGCACCGACTTTCAAAAACAACCTGTTTAACACGAAATACGTTTCTTCTCTTTTTTTTTCATTATAAACGGGCTACAATAGAAATATTAAGGGAATAAATTAAGCTCCGTCATTACTCCTTCATTCCGTTTTTACTTTCACTTTCTGCATAGTGAATTGACTGAGATCAAGACGTTCACCGGCATAACTCTTGCACAAAGTTTGCACGTTGCTTAGGCCTATGTGATATCCATTGGCTCGCCTTCATGGTTTAAAACAGAAATATTTCCAACATTGCGACAATTACCCAAGCAATTACCCCCCTCCCCGTATCGAAAACGTACCTAACCGTGACACCACTGTGTCGTATTGAACCGAACCGTGAATTTTGTGAACCGTTACACCCCTAGTTCATGCATGCATATCATTCTCTATCTGCTCTCTATCTTTTGTCTGCATGTGACATTTTCTCTCAATTTGGCCGATTCTCACTTTCATTGTGTCTCGTCTCTGTCCAGATGACCATCTCTCTGGCTCTGTCTACGGTGTGAATGCGGGCCGCCATGTCCCAGATGCTCCACATGGAGATCCCTAACTTCGGCAGCATGGTGCTGGGCTCCCTGAATGAGCAGCGGCTGCAGGGCCAGTACTGCGACGTCTCCATCGTGGTGAAGGGCCAGGCGTTCAAGGCCCACCGCGCCGTGCTGGCCGCCAGCAGCCTGTACTTCCGCGACCTGTTCAGCGGCAGCAGCAAAGCACAGTTCGAGCTGCCGTCCTCCGTCACGCCGGCCTGTTTCCAGCAGATCCTCAGTTTCTGCTACACGGGGAAGCTGACCATGGCCGCCAGCGAGCAGCTGGTCGTGATGTACACCGCCGGGTACCTGCAGATCCAGCACATCGTGGAGCGTGGCATGGACCTCATGTTCAAAGCCAACTCGCCGCACTGCGACTCAGCCACGGCCTCCATGGATGAGCCCAACTCGGGCCCACAGAGTCCCAGCACCCACCCGCTGGTGCCGGCCCGCAGGATCAAGCTGGAGGAGCCGCTGGTGAAACGAGCCGGCGGGGGCGACGGGACACGTTCTGGACGGGGCGTGCCGCTGTTCTCTTGGGGCGCGTTTCCGTCTGGGGCGCCAGCGTATCTCGGAGAGCGTTCCAGTCCTGGAACGTCCAGCCTCCCGACCACCGACAGCCCCACATCGTACCAGAACGAAGACGAGGAGTTTGAGGAAGAGCCGTTCGACGCAGACGAGACCTACAGCCAGATGTGCGGCCGCTCGGCCAACCCTTATGGAGGTACAGCAGCCTCTGCTTCTGACCAACTCACTTCTGATGATTTGAATGACAGGCTAATGATAGCTGAACATATGAGGTTATGTTTGTTTAGAGATGAACTGCTCGACATGTGGCAAATGGTTTGAAAACGATAGCGTGCCAGTTATGAAACTGGCCAACACGTGGGAAAGTTTAATGTTTCATGAATTCTGCCTTTTGATAACCTGCACCATTCTTAGAGTTTTAATTACAGTAGTATATATGTAATCCTGATAAAATGTACACTGTCTGATAATGTTTTGGGCAGAATATGTGTTGGTCTTATATTCAGAAGAATTTATTTTAATGTGATATATTTATAGTATAGTATATATATGTAATATAATATATGGAGTATACAGGGCTCAACACTAAGGATTTTTTTTATACTGGCCCAGTCGGGCCAGTGGTTCAAATTTTGATTTGCCCTGCCAACATTTTCACTGGCCCTGCCACAAAAAATGAAATAGTTGTTATCTTTGTTTTTGACTCATGTTATCTTGTATTCCAATAAATAAGCTTATATGACATCAAAATTTTAAATATCAGTTAAAGGGGTCATATGATGCGATTTCAAGTTTTCCTTTCTCTTTGGAGTGTTACAAGCTGTTCGTGAATCGATAAGATCCCTAAAGTTGCAAAGACTAAAGTCTCAAACGCAAAGAGATATTCTTTATCTTTTTTTTTTACTTAAAAGTTAAGACTCGTCCACGCCCTCCTAAAACGCCTCGTTTAAACACTCCCCCACATGTCTACGTCACTGTGTGGGAAGATTTGCATAACACTGCCCAAATGTTCACGCAAAGAAAGAAGGCGTAACTTTATTGTTGCTGCCAATGCCGCCGCCACGTTGTGAAGGCGCTGTGTGTTTCGTTGCGAAAGCGAAACTACTTTGGTTTACGTGGCGTGATGCAACGCAATTGGTTTTGTCTCGTCGCACCGGGACACGGCATCACCGTATGGTAAGGGCCGTAACATTTCCGTCACACGCTTGAGGTATTCGGCCAATCACAACGCACTGGATAGCTGGCCAATCAGAGCACACCTCGCTTTTCAGAACGATGAGCTTTGTAAAAATCGACGCGTTTCAGAAAGGCGGGGCAATAATGTACAGTATGTGGAAAATAATGTGTTTTTTGAACCTTAAACCGCATAAACACATTTCATTATATAATACACAAAATAATGTTCTTTTTAGTAACATCATATGACCCCTTTAAATATTACAATTCTCAATTCCAATTTCGATACCATAGTAAAAACTTTTAGCCTAACAAATATAAAGGTCAGACATTATTAAAGACAAGTGAACAGTAAATATGAACAAATTACAAGCAATAGCACAAATAAATAAACAGAACATAGATACAAATTAAACTTCTTTTTGGGTGGTGGGGATTAACATTAAGGACACTGACAGCAGTTGGTAAATTAGGCGCATTCACTTTAAGAAACTATGCTTGGATCCAATATAATGATACACACCGATTTCTTTCTCAACTGTTTAAGTTCACTTAAAGACATAATTGTTTTCGAGGATACTTGCCTGAGAACACACTGAATGGAGTTTTTATTCACGTTTTTTTGCACTTGAATGCTTTAGAATCTCTTGAATGTTCAAATCGGCAAGGTTTATATGTCCATTAAAGCAAGACGTGAAAGAGAACTCAATTTGGTGTTTGCGCGTTGTCTGTGTGCACACAGAACACAGCATGTGAGTACAAAATGTGGTTGTCTTGCACGTCTTCTTGCGTTTGTATGCATTAAAAATCGCTTGAATGTTTAAATTGGCAAGGCATAAAAACACATGCAAATGACAAACTTTCATGACGACCCAGCAGTGGCCCGATCAAATCCATCAGCTGTCCCGAGCGTCTTTCATGCTGGCCCCGGGCCATCGGGCAGTCCTTTTTGTCGAGCCTTGAGTATAGTATAGTACAGTATAGTATAGTATATATGATAATATATATAGTAAAATAATTTTTGTCTGTTTTCTTCTATGTACTGTTCAAAAGTTTGGGGTCAGTATATTTTTTTTAATGGAAATTAATACTTTCAAAATTAATTTTGAAATTAATATCATTCATTAAGGATGCATTAAATCAATCAGAAGTGACAGTAAAGACATTTATGTTACACAAGGTTTCAAATTTCAAAAGAATGCTGTTCTTTTGAACTTTCTATTCATCAGAGAATCCTGAAAATTTAAATATATCACGGTTTCCCATTATATTCAGCAGCACAACTGTTTTCAACATTGATAATAATCGGCAAATCAGCATATTAGAATGATTTCTGAAGGATCAGATGACACTAAATACTGGAGTAATGATGCTGAAAATTCAGCTTTGATCACAGCGATAAATTACATTTTAACGTATATTCACATAGAAAACAGCTATTTTGAACCGTAATAATATTCAGCATTACAATATATTATCAATATGTATTACTGTAATTTCTTTCAAAAACTTGATTTTACTGACCCCAAACTTTTTGAATGGTAGTGAATGTAATAAGTAACCATTTACATGCAACACACCACTCTACTTTTAGCAATGGAATAAAGGATATATTATATATACACTGGGATCATTTCAAATCATTCACTACTAAACCAGAAGCTGCTTCCGCTGCTGTTAAATAGGTTACAGGCTCATTACTTTGGGTCAGCGTGTGAAGTTGTCTAGAGTAGAGGACAGTCCGTTAAGATGAGCCAGAGCCAAAAGTAAAACTAATGCACCTAATTATATTTCAGGATGTCTGCTGCAGTGAGTTGTAATGGCCGTTTCATCCCTGAGCTTACAATTCATTATAACGACTGTCAGAATTGTTAGTGAGCTGTCAAAAATGCTGTTGTGAGACATAAAACAGGCAGCAAAGAAACGTGCGAGAACAGAAGTGTGAACATTGGGCGGTTCATGATATCAGAGACACGTGCTGAAGATAACCTGATGTATTATTACAGTGTGGAGATACAGGCTTTCTTCAGAATGCACTCACTCTAAAGCATAGTTGTCAGGACCTAGTGCTAATAAATCACATATCATAATTAAAATTTAATAATAACCCATTTTACTTTCAAATTTACCAATCCTGATACATTTCAAATGGAAAAAAAAGATCAGGGCAAAAATTACTAATAGTGGCCCGAATTAGTAAATGTTACTTCAAAGACAGTTTTCTCATACTTTGTATGGAACCTTGTTTCCGCCATTGGGAAAAAAAACATAAATTTTTTTATCTCACAATTCTGACTTTTTTCTCGCAATTCTGAGTTAATATCTTATATCTCAATTCTGAGAAAAATAAGAGCTGTGTGATTAAAAAGTCACAATTCGTTTTTTTTTTTTACTCCATGCCGTGTAAAAAAAAAAAAACTAATTGTGAGATTAAAACTCAAAATTGCAAGGAAATTACCGCTTCTCAGAAATATCAATTTATGTTTCTCAATTCAGATTTGTGAGATAAAAAGTCACAATTACCTTTGTATTATTTTTAATTTTTTTATGTTGTGGTGGAAATAAGCTTCCATAATTTGCGCCAACCAAGATCAATAATTTTCAGAAAAAAATATTTTCCCAAAACAAAGTTGAGCTATTAAGCTTTGAAGCCAATATAAATCTAAAAAAGAGGTCAAGAAAAAAATGATGATGTCACTCATTTAAATATGAAATTATGAAATACCAAATCATAAATTCAGGACTTTTCTCCCAGAAAGTACAGGCTACTTTTGAGATAAAAAGAACATATTTAAAGCTAAATTTAGGTATAATTCTTTGTATTAACCATGCAAATTTGCTGCATCTGTCTAATGATATTCCAATGGAAAAACACCAACTTTCTGTGGTAGCAGTTGTTATGCTAATGTAAGTTGGGTTTGCTGTTTATTACATCAGTAGTATATGGAGACACACATGAGCATTTCATGAGAAAGAGCCTGAGGTTAACGAGTCAGAGTTTGAAGAAAGTGAGCTGAAAGGTCAAATTCAGAGTGAAATGCTGCCTGTTATGAACATTCCTCCATGTTGATCTATTGTCTGCTGTGTGTTATCGGTTAGAACGAGAAGAGTTCGTGTCTTGATTTGTCCCGTGTGTTTGGTAACTATTCAGATCTGTCCTGACTGTAGAAGCAGCCGTACAGGAGCTTGTGTCTCTCAGCGGTGACACTCACTGCAGCTCTCGTCCGGCGCTCCGGTGTCACAGATTGTGAAATGCATTCAGTCTGTAATCAGTCACCGCTCCAGAGGGTCACATTGTGGGTTATTTGAGAGCTCGCACATCTTTTGTGTGTGTGTGTGTGTGTGTGTGATTAGCGAGTGTCAGTTTAAGGACTGAAGAACAAATGGGAAGCAGAACTTTTCTATTAGTTGTGCCAGTGCAGAGCTTTATTGAGTTGTGACGAGCAGGCACTTCCCCTGAATAGAGTCACTGTAAAAATGTCTACCTAATTCTACTTAACTTACATTTTTAAGTATCAAATAGGCTGTACAAGTTATACAGCTAATTTTTTTTAAATCTTGTGTCGTTGAATTCCAAAAACTTAAGGCAAGACTCTACCAGGTGAATAGGGTAAAGAAAATAAATACAAATAAATAAATAATAGATATCAGTATTACTGATGTACTGATATTTTGGTTGCACTTTATTTTACAGTACGTGTACTTACAGTGTACCTACATAAGAAAGTTTTGGTAATATAAGGTAACTACATGGGGTAGGTTCAGGGTTAGTACCCAGTTATTACCTAGTTATTGTAATTATTATAATAAGTACATAGTACACTCTAAAAAATGCTGGGTTGTTTCAACCCAACTTTGGGTCAAATATGGACTAACCCAACTTTTAGGTTAAAAATGTTATGTAAAAATTTAACCCAACAGTTGGTTTAGTCCATATTTGACCCAAAGTTGGGTTGAAACAACCCAGCATTTTTTAGAGTGTATGTACATGGGGAACAGGACTGTAAAATAAAGTGCTACCGATATTTTTGTATTGGTTTTCTGAAATGTTATGCGTAAATATGCTAATTATTGGCATTATCTAATTAAATGCAGACTAATTTGCATACATTTCCAGAATTTAAATCTTAACATTGGATAAAGCCAGGTTGAAAATTGTTGACATATTGCAGGTTTCTTCCAGAGAGGATTTTGAATTTCTAGAAAATCAGGAAATACTGTCAACAGGCAGAAAACAAATAAATTTTCACCATGTTTTTAGGGAAAAAACAATAGTTTTAAATCAGAGTGAATGATATATGAACAAACCCCTCAGTAAAAGCCTTCAGAATATAGATATAGAAATATTTGGTGTATGTAAGTGCTGCTGAAGTGGAGAAACAAACTTTTGAATTGATATGGATTGGAAATGAAATCAATAGTCGCAAGTAGATAAAGTGCAATAAAATAAACACTTAAAAGTGTATTTTAGATGTGTTCGTTCCACTAGTTTGAAACAACACTTTATGAAATGCCAAATCGCCCAAAATCTCAAAATTGACTGATGCATGAAAATCAGTTTTTGCCTGTAGTGTCTCGCCTTGGTTTGGTTAAATGATTTTGATGAGTTAAAGTAAACAGGTTATATTGAGTATATATAGTATTTTCTACAGTGTGCAGAACAGGGCCTGAAACTCTTAAAGGGTTAGTTCACCCAAAAATGAAAATTCTGTCATTAATTACTCACCCTCGTGTTGTTCCAAACCCGTAAGACCTTCGTTCATCTTCAGAACACAATTTAAGATATTTTTGATGAAATCTGAGGGCTCTCTGACCCTCCCATAGACAGCGAGGTAACTACCACGTTCAAGGTCAAGAAAAGTACTAACGACTTTATTCCACATTTTCGTCTCTACTGCGTCACTTGTGGACGCGCGTTCACGACAGTACCATATACGTGAGCATGTGGCGGCGCTCAGATTTCATCAAAAATATCTTAATTTGTGTTCCGAAGATGAACGAAGGTCTTACGGGTTTGGAACAACACGAGGGTGAGTAATTAATGACAGAATTTTTGGGTGAACTAACTCTTTAAAAGTGATTTTAGAAGCATCTGTTTAGATGGACTCAAACAGTGTCGAGTTCTCAAAGGATCGATTTCACAGCATGACTTCGTGTCGTGATTTGAGGCCGTATCAGAGGTTCTGAATGTTTTCGTCACTCCGTTTCTTCCAGTGGCAGAGAAGCCGGAGATGGCGGTCATGCCAGTGTCGCTGGAGAACCGCTCGTGTGTGCTGATCCGCAGGGATCTGGTGGCTCTGCCCGCTAGTCTCATCAGTCAGATCGGCTACCGATGCCATCCCAAACTCTACACGGAGGGAGACCCCGGAGAGAAACTGGAACTGGTGGCAGGTTGGTGAAATCACTCAGTCAGCCCTGTCAAAGTTAGCAGAGAATAACAAAAGCATTACAGGAACATTCAGATTAGGAATTGAAAGATTATGTGTATCTTTAGTCAGATGTGTTTACATTGTAAATTGATTTATGTAGTAATAAAAAGAGAAATCCAAAATCCCCTCTGGAGATGTCAACAAAATCGAACAAGAATTTGGCTTTATCCAACATTCAGATTCACTGAATGCTTATTTAATTAGATCATGCCTAATTTGCATATTTAAACATAACATTTCAGAAAACTTGTAATACAAAACAACTGTCCTAATGTACTGTGAATAATCAGCTGGAGGAAAACATGGTGAGATCATTAGTTAATAGTTATTAGTTTAAACCTATTGCCCTGTGCTGATGTTCTCCAGTGCCGTTGGTTGTTGTCGTATGTCTCTGTGTTGTGTGTTGTTCAGGCACAGGTGTGTTCATGACCAGAGGTCAGCTGATGAACTGTCATCTGTGTGCTGGTGTCAAACACAAGGTGCTGCTGCGCAGGCTCCTCGCCACCTTCTTTGACAGGTGTGTGTCATCACTTTGTTAATCCAGAGCCACTTTAAGGCAAGCCTACAAGATTAGCAAAACTGTGTAATGTTGCAGTACGCAGGGATGGACACCAAAGGCCGGTTTATGAATGGATGTCAATGGAGGAGAGGCTTCACGACGCTGAATAAATACGCTGCTTTTGTGGGAAAACAGCTTATCGTTTAATGAATCGACAGCCTATTGGCTAATGTTTGGACTGAGCTATTTTTAGAGTTCACACTGAAAAAAGTGCTGTTTTATAATAGAAGCCAGTAGTGCTGGGCGGTATACCGGTTCATACCGAATACCGGTGTTTATTTTTGTTATGATATGAATTTTTAAAATACCGCAATACCGGTATATGTCACTTAAACAACGTTCGGAACGCGTCGAAGGGGTCTGTTTTCACTGTTGCACTGTGGTGAGCGCACAGCTGTATGTGTTACTAAGCGTGAAAGTTCTGAAACTGAAGCTGTAGAACTAATAGAACGTGATGACACAGAAGAACTCATCCACAATATCCACATTGACCGCCACAAATATCCACCGCCCCTGCCATCAGCTCCCGCGTCTCACACACACACACGAGCGCGATTTTAGCACTAGATTTTGCAACTTTCAGACCCTTTTAGCGGCTTTTTTTCCATAGAATATTCATACTGACAAACCTAGCGACTTTTTTGGATAAACCTTAGCTATGGTTCAGTTGGAAGATTTCGCCAGTGCTGTCCCGCGAACGCGAGGTCTGACTTTCCCGCAGAACTGTCACCTCTCTCGGTGTCTGTTCTGTGCAGTGAGCGGCAGAGAAGCAGTGCATTCAGTTGGCCGCACCGCAGCCAGCTCGTCAATAAATGAGTACAAAACAGTGTTTCCTAGCACCTGTCGCTTACTGATTGTTTGGAATTATAAATATGAGTGTAGTTCGTCTGTTAATATCACATGCAGTTTTTTGTTTGTTGCTTTTTTTTTAGTTTGTTACTCAGACGCAGGCAGTGCGCTGCATGAGACAAAAAAGTAATATAGCCAAAACAACCGCATAGCCGCTCTTTAGTGTAAGATGCATGTTGATTTTATCAGACGATGCCGCGGTTATAAATGAGAGTGACTCCTGGTTAACATGTATTAAAAGGGGTCGTGTTTAGTCACTATTTAGTGTGGTATTTTTTGACAATATTCACTCATCATGACAGTAAAATAGGGCATTCTAAGTCAATATACTGCAGTATTTCCTCTCTCAATCAGTAGAAAATATGGTTAACACCCGGTCATGCATGAAAAAAAAAAATACCGTCATGTACCGTGAAACCGGTATAATTTTGAAAAATACCGTTATATAAATTTTTGGTCATACCGCCCAGCACTAGAAGCCAGAGACAATTTTGCGAAGTTTATGGCACTTCTCATTTATTTCTATGGCATCCACAAACAGTGATTGACTGTCGCACAAAGAAATTCAGTGACATTAAAGCTGTAATGTGAAGGCACACGTGATCCAAGTTGAATGTTAAGCATTCTCTTACACTTTTAGCACCATAAACAGTATGAAGAATGTGCTGCAGCAGTAACGACAGACTTTTTTATTTAATGACTATTTAAAGATTTCATAGTTTGTTCAGTAAACGAAACACTTTTATGTTGTATCTTTTCCCCATGCTGTACCAAAAAGCGTATCAAACCATGATTTAAGAAATGATTTGCATAGGGAACCATCATTTTGTGTACCGTTACACCCGTACAGTTATGTGCAGTGCAGTTATTGAGATATTGAGTGTTTTGGTCTCATAGCTTTGCTCTCAACTGCACCTTCTGCTGGCTGCTTTTTGAATCTGCAGGAACACTCTAGCAAACAGCTGTGGGACAGGGATCCGATCATCAACCAGTGACCCCAGCCGAAAACCACTGGACAGTCGAGTCCTGAACGCTGTCAAATGTACGTTATGCTCTATGTGTCATCAGTGATGTTCAAATCAACATTCATTACACCGCCCTGCATCGTATCTGCTGAATGAAATCCAATACTTGTTTCTTAAATCATTTTGGGTTCTGATTCCAAAAATAAGGTCTGTTTTGCTCAAGCATGTCATGCTTTTTTACAAAATATTATGCTTTGCTTTCGACAACCATTAGTATGGTGAAGAAGTCTTGTATTTTGCCTTAATCAGCAGAAAAAACACCACAAACACATGATTCCTGTCTGAATCTGAGCAGATTGTTGATGCTCTCAGCCCATTTTCACATGCATGACATTATTTGATGCCTGAACCTGATTTCAAGGTCAGAATTATGGAAAGTGACAGAAGAAAATAAAAACATGAGCAGATGTTTTCTGCTTTTACTGCATCTAAACAGCCACAGAAAATTACAGATTTTGTGAAAAAGCTTCTTTATTTCTAAATTTGTATCTATGTAAGTTTCTTTGACATTAAATGCAGTATTTTAACATATTTTCCTACTCGTTTGAATATTGTAAGTTACATGAATACTAATGTCAAAAAAGTAATGTTAAAACTTTTTACATTTGACTGCTTTCATTATTTTGATATGCCATTAAAGCAGATATACACACACACACACACACACACACATATATATACAGTCGTGGTCAGAATTATTGGCACCCTTGGTAAATATGATCAAAGAAGGCTGTGAAAATAAATCTGCATTGTTAATCATTTTGATCTTTTATTTTAAAAAATCACATAAATCTAACCTTTCAATGGAGAATAAGAATTTAAAATGGGGGGAAATATCATTATGACATAAATGTTTTTCTCTAATACACATTGGACACAATTAACGGCACCCTTTTATTCAATGCTTTTTGAAACCTCCCATTTGGCATAATAACAGCTCTGAGTTTTCTCCTATAATGCCTGATGAGGTTAGAGAGCACCTGACAAGAGACCAGAGACAATTCCTTCATCCAGAATCACTCCAGACCCTTCAGATTCCCAGCTCCATGATGGTGCTCCTCCTCTTCAGTTCACCACACTCATTTTCTATAGGGTGCAGGTCAGGGAACTGGAATGGCCATAGCAGAAGCTTGGTTTTGTTTTTTTGTTGTTGTTTTTTAAGGTTTGTTTTTGGATTATTGTACGGTTGGAAGATCCAAACATGGCCCATTATAAGATTTCTAACAGAGTCAGTCACTTTTTGATGATTTATCTGTTGGTATTTGATAGAATCAAAGATGCCATGTATCTAAACAAGATGTCCAGGACCTCCAGCAGAAATATAGGCCCACAACATTAAAAATACAGCAGTATATTTCATTGTACACATGGGGCACTTTTTATCCCTGTGTGCACCTTTGTTTTTTCTCATTGTGATGGATGAGTAAGGGCATTTGGCCTTTGTTTTCCCTCCTATTTATATTCCTGTGAAACAGGAAGCCATGGCTGGATAATTTCATGTTCATAATCACCCTGGTATGCTCAAAATTGTAAATATGAATGGGAATATACTTCACAGATATTTTACTCATAAGAATTTCTAAGGGTACCAATAATTGTGTCCAACGTGTATTTGAGAAAATATTTATTTCATAATGACATTTTCCCCCATTTTCAATTGTTTTAGTTCAATGAAAGGTTAGATATTTGTGAATTTTTTTAAAATAAAAGATCAAAAGGATTAACAGTGCAGATTTATTTTCACAGCTTTCTTTGATCATATTTACCAAGGGTGCCAATAATTCTGACCACGACTGTATATATACAATTTGAAATATCTTTTTTCTTATTTTGTGGAAAGACTGTACATGATGTAAAGGTTTTGTTGATATTGAACTCTGCATCATCAAATTAGGTAATATATGCAACTTCTTTTTTGCAACTTCGCAAAAACATTTTCAGTATGCAGTATAATCAAGCAGTGTCTGAATTCAACATTATCAATTAAAGGGGTCATATGATGCGATTTCAATTTTTCCTTTCTCTTTGGAGTGTTACAAGCTCTTGGTGCATAAAGAAGATCTGTAAAGTTGCAAAGACTAAAGTCTCAAATCCAAAGAGATATTCTTTATAAAAGTTAAGAGTCAACCACGCCTACCTAAAACGGCTCGTTCTAACACACCCCACATACCTACGTCACTATCTGGGAAGAGTTGCATAACGCCGCCCAAATAGTGACGTAGGTATGTGGGGGCGTGTTAGAACGAGCCGTTTTAGGTAGGTGTGGCT